TTGAATGTCAAAACATTATTACATTAATATCTATGATATTTCACATGCATTGTGTCGTATCCAACTGGTTGGAACTGCAAACAAATTTTTTAAAATGTTTAACACTTTTAATGAAGGTTTACACACTTTTAAGGCATGGAGTTAAACTAAGCACTTCCGTTACTTCTAGACTTAATTTTCAAAACTATTTATGTCACGATTATTCAAGAAAACTGGAAATTAAGCAATAAAATGCAAAAACATCAAAGTAAAACAGATCCTTTATTTAATAATAAATCATCTTGTTAATTGAGTATCAGCAATGCTGCATCACCATACAGACATGATTATCAAAAAAAAAAAAATCATTTCTGAAAATGTATGAAAAACATGTTTGATGTAAATTTTATTAGGGGAGAGGAACTGCTGAATTTTCCGAACTTTTTTGCTAACCTGATTTTTTGGAACCTCCCTGGTATAGTTAGCACCTAAAATCAGATCTGGAAGTAGAGGAAGTGCCTGGTTCCACCCCATGCCTGAAAGTGTCTAAAAAGTAAAGAAAACAAATAAATTTTTTTTTTGGCAGTTCCAGTCAGTTGGACATAACCAGTTCCATATGGGATATCTCATATAGCATAGTACTTATGATTCGTTATTAATTTTCATCATTTGCTGCTATGATTGCTGATAATGGTTTTGATTAAAAATCAAGAAAAGTCTCAAGCATAAAGCAGAGATCGAAGCCGATTTTTTCGGCTTAACTCAATTTTTGATAGAAAAAAGCCATTTAACACCCATTTTAAGTATTTAAATTGAACTTTACATGCTTTACTATGATTCTGTGAAATATTTTTTCAGCTTGTAGCTATAGTGAGCTCAGAATTTCAAGTTAGAGAATGTTAAGCCGAAATTTAAGCCGATCGGCTTAAAATCGGCTAAATTGAAATTCAGAGCTTCCTATAGCTACATGCTGACAAAATATTACACAGAATCATAGTAAAGCATGTATAGTTCAATTTAAATACTTGAAATGGGTGTCAAATGGCTTTTTTCTATCAAAAAAATCAAAAATTGAGTTAAGCCGAAAAAATCGGCTTCGATCTCTGGCATAAAGTCATCAATTCATATGAAAATTTTCATACAAAATTCCCGAAGAAATTTTGTGACGTCACAAAATTGAAAATTGATAATTTCCAAAATTGCAATTTTCGAAAATAAACAATTTCCAAAATTGCAATTTTCTGAAATTGACAAAATTGCAAAATTGCTTTGATCAAAATTGGCAATTTTCATTATTTTCATTTTGATTTATTTTAAAAATAGAGCAATTTTCATTTTATTTTCAAACTCTGTTTTTTATATATTTTTTCTATTAATTGCGACCTTTCTCAACGTTCAATCGTTATTTGCAGAAAAAATATCGAAGTTTAATGAACGAGAAAAAAATGTCAATCATTAAAGGATGCACACCCAGGGTTAATTTATCAAATCAGTACAGCAACAAAGGATTAGAATGACTTGAAAAAAAAAATAAAAGTTTAAAAATTGAAAGGATTGAAAATGAAAATTAATATTATGAATATTCATTAGGAACTTCCTTGCAGAAACTTATTTTCAAGAGTCATGCTAGTCTGTTCCATACATTTTGCATTAATATTCTATAGTTTTTGCATAGTTCATGTTACACAAAAATCAGTCATTAATGGATAACATCTGGATGTGAATGAACCTTATTAGAAATAAAACGTGAATGCTTACAATGATATGAATAAATTTGCTAGCCAGACTTAGTAGTGACGTTGCGGATTAGATCACAAAAGGTATGAAAAATTAGCAATAAGCATATGTGCAGCAAAAATCAGTTAAACATAATTTTTGTGGTAGTTTGGAAAGTTTTGTGGTATAACATTGAGAATTGAAGTAAGAATTGAGAACTATTGAGTCAGAAGTTAAAACTTAGTTGATGACAAATTGCTGTTTATCAAGCGTGGATAAAAAAATCAATTTTTTTGTAGATTTATTGGATAGAGGTTCAAGCCATTTTGAGTCGGAGGCACTGCAATTCAAATTAGAACAGAATCTATTGTACCACACGCTTTAGACCTACAGTTTATAGTGGAATCCAAACCACATGCAAGCTCTGCCCATTCCAAAGACACGAGTTTGTCTATAGAATTGACGTACTCTGCAATTGACCTAGTCACAATTCGTGTACGTTGGATGCTGTAATGAAATCATCCAGATGCTAGTATATCCTCGTAAACCTAGCAAAGGAGATACTTTATGTGTCAAATACCTCAAAACTACACCCAACACATGAACCATCCTTCGTAACTAGAACGTTTAAATGTAAAAAGAGCTTCTAAAACTTGACTTGGGATTGAACCTCGGATTGAAGCCAGAACTTTTGATCTACGATCTACCACTTAGGCCACTGATGCCATTTCACAAAGAGTATAAGGAGGGACCCTAGGATTCCTGCATCCATAGGATGGATTATAGAAGATGACCTACGTAGCCCAACAAGCCTCTTCGTGGTCTGATAGGCTCTTCTTTAATAAATTGTTGATTGGAGATCTAGCCCGAATGGAACAAGCGGATAATCAAATAGAAATCTGACGTCAGCTTCTTACCGGATTAACTTTGTGCAAAAGTTTATTAATTCGTTCAACTTTAACGATTTTGTCCTCAAATTCCATTTAAGATACGATTAAAATTCTGTCAATTTATGCACATGCACATGTCAGTCTATTACACGTGCTAGTTTCCAAAATAGTTTTTTAATTTTTTTTTTGCTCAAAACTCCTTGAATTTCTACAAACTATATCTCAAATGCCTGAAAACTAAGAAGCTTAAGGAACTAAAATTGCAAAACTGCAAAAGCAATCAAAACTCATTTGATAAAGTCATTTAACCATACATGTGCATAGTGCTGCATTTAAAAAAATATAAGTTTAAATTTATTTCATTAAATAACAAGAAAACCGAAAAGTAGACAAGACTAAATGCTATAAATAATATATTCATTAGATAATAAGTCATTCGTCATTATTTCCTACATCACGATATTCAAAAAGTAATAAATTAACAACAAACTAATAGAAAAAAAATTAAAGAAAATAGAAATTAGAGTGAAATTAACCTGAAAATCTTTTTCATCAAAAAAAAGTTGTCGGCATGAAATTAAGAGACGAGCGTAGACAAGAAATCGAAACTGAAAGCTAATTCGATACGCATTTATTTTCTTCCAATAATTTTCAAGTAGCTTAACATATCATTAAAATGACGTTAAACATTTTCGTTGCCTGTAAAATGTGTCTTTTCAAACATCAAATTAAGCGCGGTGTAAATTAAATTTTCAAGTTTCTTCATTTCAATTGCGGCATCTTCTTTTGATTCTATTTATTTCTTTACCTTTTATTATCTAGGATTGAGATTTGTGTATAATAAAAATTTAAAATAGGGCGTTAATAAATCCATCGGATCTAGTTCTATTCTAACACTTGTCCATGATTTTTCTTCTTCTTCATTTTCTAGATTTCTATTCTAATTTATTTTAATGAAAATCATTCAAATTATTATTTTTTTGTTATGGATGTTTATAAACATTTTAGTTGATCAAATCTGTCAGGATTGTTGGAACTTGTTTTGTTGCCGTAGGACATTGATAATTTGCGAGAATGCAAAATGTTGTGGTGAAAGTGAATCAATGAGTTTGAAGTATGAGCGCATTTTGGAAAATTTTAATCAATTTTAATACAAGGGTACGGAACTGATGAAATGATCAAAAATTACCTTAATTTATCAGTTCCGTACATTTGTTGTAATGTTAATTGAACTGTTTTAAAGGTTTAACTTGTTTGTAGTTGAAATTTGAATTTGATTTACTTATAGGAATCGAACCCACGAGCTGAAAATAAGGTTTAAAGATATCTGATCTTTTGGCTAGTAACTCGACCAAAGAGGCTTAATTCTCGCACTGGGAGATTCGCCAACAAAGCTTGATATTACAGATGTCAAACTGTGCCGTGGCTGAAAAAAGTTTGGACTACACTGGTCTAAAGACAGCTCTATCCTTTGAGACCTTCTACCATTTCGGGATATTAAGGACTCAAGCGTCCTTATCGACACATCCAATCCAGGTGTTCTTTGGTCTTTCTCTAGATCTCTTGCCATCAATAATGTGTGCTTTTAACCTAGTGCTGACATAACTTCGATGATCTTCTCACAATCTGTCAATTAATAGTGACTAAGTAAGTGTGAATTGCTCATCTCCTTCAGCACCCTTTCTTCATTTCCCCTTACTATAACTTACCATGTTTGCTGTGTTGAAGTTGATAATTAAGCACACATTGACATGATTCTTGTAAGACTCATTACGCCAAAAAATTAAAAAATTCGACAAAGTGACTTCAATCTGAATTTCATCTTACAAAAATTCATGCAAAAAAAATTATTTCACTACCCCTGGCGTCACAGGCTAATTAGTAGGTTGATCAAAAATTTTAGAACTTTTGTTCGCAATAATTTTAAAGGAAGAGAAAGTCACCAGATTTTCGATTCAAAATTTAATTTCTGAACAGCATGGAGTAAGCAAATATTTTTGTTTGTAAGTCCAGCATTTTTTGTTTGGTAAAAAAATTCTACCTATGAGCACTTGAAAAATTTCTCTTAATTACTGTTGCTTTCTATTAAATAATAAATATGCAGCACAAAGAGAAGAAGAAGCAAAAACATTGCAGCAACAGCGTTCCTTGCCCTTTCATCCACATCCACAAATTCAATTGAATACGAAGCATCACCCTTCCCTTATTTATTTCATTTCTATTTCCTAGATACTTAATAGCATTGCTACCCTAGTCATATTCCTTTCCCTTCTTCTTTATTTTCCCGCTTCTTTTTAATGTATTAGTGTAGTGACATAATTCGTGAAGCATTCGGAACATTGTTTTCCGATTTTGTAACACACCGGAATTGAATTTATGTTTACATCAGCTTTCATTCCTTTGTTAGGATAGGGAGAAGAAGGAAGCGTTTTTACTGCGCTCGCTCGAGAAAAAAAAAATTATTGTGTAATAAAAAAAATTATTATTTGTGAGTCACAAAGGAAAACTTTCGAAAAAATAATTTAGAAAAATTGTGGAAATAAAAAATTTGAACTCAAAAAAAGTTATTAAAACTGACCGAAAAAAAAACAAAGAAAAAAAAGTCATCATGTCTCGTGCATTTTATATACCGCCGCAAACACAAAACATGAATAATTCCGTCGGAAATTCTGAACTTGTCGACATTCTGATTGCGACACTAATTTCACTGCTAAGAAGAAGAAATCAATGTACAAGAAGGTGTTGTGCTAGAAATTTACATCGCCATGAGAGTCATGTAAGTTGATTATTTACCTTTATTGTTGAATTAATTAATTAGTGGTGATTAGTCATACAAATTGTGGTTCGGTGTCTTTGTTGTGTGATGTGAAAAAAATGTGAATTATTGGAACAAAAAGAATATTTTACTTTGAATTTAAACATAAAGGAAATTTGGAATTTTTCTAAAATTAAAAATGTTAAAATTCATTTCACTTTTTATTTTTTAAGTTATAAAATTAAATTTAAAATGCAAAAATTAAATTGCAAAATTCAAACCGCAAAAACTAAATTGCGAAAATTAAAATTCAAAATTTAAATTAAAAAATTAAATTGAAGAATTTAAAATGTAAAAATTAAATTGCAAAAATTAAAAAACAAATCTAAATTCATAAAATTATTAATATCTATTTTTTCCGAAATTCTTAAAATACTAAGGTTTTATTTTCAATATTTTAAAAATTGAATATAAAACCTATTCTGAAGTTAGTAAAATAATTCAAGATTTTAATTTTCTTAAACTGAAAAATAGATTTAAAAGTATTATTAAAAATAGAAATTAATTAATTAAATTTAAAATTTGAATTTCAACATTTTTACAAAAAAACAATTCGGATATTAATTTTTAAATTTATCTTTTTTTCCCCGCGTGAATTCATTTTCATTTAAAAAACCTCAAAATATAAAATTAAAATTACTTTTTCCAATAAGAATTCCGAAAATTTCCAATTAAATTTTAAATCCTAGCATTTTTAAATTGTCCGCTATTTAAATTATTTTTTTTTCAATTCTACCATTTTAATTTTATGTTGCTGAAATCTGATCTTAAGGTTCTTATTTCAAATTATATTCCAAATGATTCATAGACAGCAAATTACACTAATCCTTCAATTAATTTATTCAATTTAAATTAGACCGCCAGTCTAGACTCTAAACTGTCAAGCATCTAAAGTTCATTGAATTGAATTGAATTTTTTGCGGATTTGTTGAATGAAAATACAGTTTAATACTCAATTAAAATAAAATTTTAAGCCACCGGTAGCGATTTTTGAAATGCGATATTGATCAAAATTGAATTTGAATGTTGACTTTGTGGTGTGCAGCAAAAAGCTAGGCCAACTAGCTAAAATCCAGTTACTCAGTTTGCCATTCTGGATTCTTACAGTCCATTTCGGTACTATGCCGCACTTGAATGAATTTAGAGCCTAACATTTTCCGTAAACAACTCTTTAAGGAAGCAAACTATATTTTTAATAATTAATAGCTTACAAGTCAACTTTTGGTACTTAACAAGAAAGTCAATGCCTTTTATCCTTTTAAATCAATCAAACTAAGTTGATAGGTGAACGTTAATGCTAATAACAACTTTAATTGCTCGTACTTAAACATGCGAATAATGTTCGCGCCAAAAATCATAACTGTTAAACAAAGCATTGTTGTTTATGTCTAAAGTCTTTGTGTTTCATGTAGCTTAGTCAGAAATACCCCCCGAATAACCTGATTTTGTGAATTATTCAAGAATATGATGTCAATTGTCGGTTCTACAATAAAATAAGCGACGGAACTATTTGATCTATGAAATCAAAGATGAGCCGAATCTCAATTTACCGATTAATATTTTATAAACGTTAATTTCCATAATTTAAAGCCGTAAAAGACTTAAAACTCAATTAATCCTCTTAAAAAAATCTTTGAAGATTTTCAAAAAATATTTTTAATTTACAATTTTTTTCTTTATTTATTTACAGAACTTCACAAGAAGCATTTAAACGAACAGCACAGAAACCAAAAGAGAACAGAAATAACAAACAATTCATCACATTCACCCAATGTGAGGCTCTTTAAAGCACCCTTCCCAAAGTCATCGATGCGTTGACGACGGAAACGTGAAATTAATGAGTTAAGCTATAGAAATTAAGAATGAAAAAATAAGTAAAAAATAAATAATAATTATTTAAAATCAATTAACACAACAAAAAAAAAATCGATGTAATTCAATTATTTACTTAATGTCTGTAAATTAAATTAATAATAAATGAAATATAGTTAAGTGTATAAAAAAATTGTTTATTGTCTTTTCGATGCTTACCGTTTTGCAGATTTTTTGGAGCATAGGGTCGATTTAGATGTTTTGGGACGTCGGTGGGACTAAGTTTTTTAAAGATGAGAGGAGACGGAATGTCATAGTCGTTTAGTAAAGTGTTGGTTCGAATGGCTAAATAGAAGACCCTTAATTCTTAGCCACAGTCAAATTTGGTTTATTTTTTTCTGAAAGTAAGCCTTTAAGGGGTTTCTTATTACGTTAGCTTTTTAAGAGGGTGGGAAAGTCCTCTAGGATTTTAAAATTGCACAATCAACGAGCCTTAATAGGGTACCGCGCTTTAGAAACCGACTTCAAATCTGTGTTATGGATTTAGACTTCGAATCAATCGAAGAATTTCAGATTTAAATATCAAGCAGTGCATTTCAAACAATTTGTACGAATGGGAATCGAACCCGCATTCAAACGGTATCTGGTCTATGTTCTTACCTCTAAGCTATCCTGGGCTGCTAAGAACCTTTACAGAATAGCAATTTAAACCAGAGCTCGGAGTCGACTAGAACTCTATCGACTTTCGAGCTCTGATTTAAACTACTAATCGGTATCTTTGAAGTTAAAGTTTATGCATTCATCCTGTAAAGCAAAATGAAGGTACATCATTTTGAGCTGGAGCTAGCACTGTAATTCAATTAGTTTAAAGTATATAGTAAAATCTGAACCACTTTAGAACCTCCAACAATATTTTATGTGACATAATATTTAAATATCCCCTAATTTACATCAAAATCCAAACATTTATCAACTTAAACCTTATGATTGGCACAAATAATTGCAAATAAACCGCTTACAACACTTTTACTTTTTTTCTGCTTTGCTGCACGTTCGCTTCCTCGACCAGTATAAATCTCTGCATGTCATACATTAAACTAGTTTTGTATAGTTCAACAATACAAACAAAACATTCAAAATCAAGTTCAATGACACGATATTGAGCTATTGTTGTCTTCACGTTGATCGCCGTACTTTTAATTCGATCGTACTCATGAAGTCATGTGCTGCTAGCATGAATGAAATCGAATGTTTTTTTGTCGGGTAACATAACGGATAATTACAGTCAGCTGAGTTTAAAGCACTTGGTAGAATTCTTTTGTGAATAATTAGACCACAATTAAAAATTAATATTTGAATTTAGCCTTGAGATATTAAATAATTTATTCCCTTATTCATTCTACAATAATCCTAATTCTAACTGTTGTTTCTAATAATATCATAAATAATAAAAATTCTTGTTACATTAATTGATGATTGGACACAAAGAACTTAACGGCACAATAATCACAATTCTGAATATTGCTAATTATCTAATTTTGCCACTTAAAAACATATTTGTGTGAGGTATTCCTATTGAGTAGTCATGTTATGTTTCTGATCATAAAAGGAAGCGCTTCAATTTGCGTGTTAGATTGTTGTCAAAAAAATTAACGTGGATGGAATAACAAAAATTAATTGCAAGCTTTATGATCATTTTTTTCTGAGTGAACATGTTTTAAAAATATAAATTCAGCTATGGCAGGTTGTTTTCCTGATTTTATCAGATTTAAACATGCGTTGTGGTATTTTTAACATTGAGCTATTTTAGTAGGTAGAGAAGAATTAGACTAGCAACTTTAACAATCAATCGAAAATAAGATTAAGTTTCCAGAATCAATCTTATATCAAGTGGCACCAAAACAGAACCGAGATTTAGGATATATCTAACAACTTGATCTGAATACTAGACAATCAAGGCTAGACCTAAGGTCGATGACAAAATTAAATGGAATGTTCCGAAGAAAGTGTCATTAGTTGACCATATCTATTTATTTACTAGACCAGTGATGGCAAGCCCAAGTGCCACGGCACAGGGGTCGTTCACTTATGACGTCCGAAATTATTTCAAAAAAAAACAATGGATTCCCAGGAATTTCTATTGTTCTTTTCTTGCTGACCCCATCCCCCCCCCTCTGGACGTCATAAGTGAACGGCCCCACAGTAGAGTGCCTACAAACACGAGAAATCTCACGAACCGTATGTCGTGGCTCAAAAGGTTGACCACCACTGTCTAGACATTGATCTCTAGTTTCCAAACAAGGAGTTCAAAGTAAACCTTCATTACACCTCATTTATAAAATTCGCTTGACAAGTTTTAAGATGACAATCTCAAATTGAACATTGTCATCAAATGAAGGACTTTAAAATTTGATATTTTCAATCAAAATTCCAAAAATTTACTCAACCTTTTAATTATTTTACTTTACTAAAGTCATAGCTATCCTAACAAATATACATCTTATAAATGATCAACTGGCAATGTTCAAAACCTGAGACCAAGCTCATTTACAACGACATCTATAAATCGCTCACCAATTCTACCTAACGTATAGTAATACAACTCATCGTGGTTGAAGACATTAGTGGTTTTTAATTCTATATAAAATACTCCTGTAATATTGGCACTTGCACTTAATCCCATAAAATTAACTGGATTATGACCGCAAATGCCGCTTTTAAAATCTTTCCAGTTAGAGCACTTAAGTGCTGGATATGTATGGCTTCTTTTGAGTGACTCTGTCCAGTATCGGTTGGCGTTGAAGTGACTGCACCATGCTAAAATAATAAAAGTAAATATTTGAATTAGGATTTGATAGATTTATAATAAATTGAGTGTGTTTAGGGTCATTCACTTGTGACGTCTGAAATTAACGGTCATTTTTCAAAAAAGAACAATGGATTTCCAGGAATTCTTATTGGCAAACCCCCACCCCCTGGTCGTCATAAGTGAATGGCTCCTTACTAAAATTTTGCATCAAATATTTGAAGAGTTTTGGATCAAAATTATTATTTTAAAGTTTCTGGTCTAAGGCTGAAGCAGATAACTAGTTTTGCAGGTTAATCGACTAAATGATGTTCAATTAATTTTTGTCATAAATTGCAATAAAAATTATCCTAATTCTCTTATCTAATTAGTGATACTAATTCATGATGATACTAATGCACGACTTTTAATATTAATTAAAATGCAATTAAAGAATTTTTTATGAAGGTTGTCAAGAAGATTAAATTATTAATTATTTTCAAGACTTTGCTGATTAGGCGTTGCATGCAATCTGTAGAATATAAATGAATTCTAAAAAATAATTCTTATTGTAAATACAAAGAATTTGTTTATGGCTTGGATTGAAGTCTTTAAACTTGTCATTGAATTTTTCGCGCTGTTGCTGGGTCAATTTTAAATGACGTCAATACAAAGTAGAGTTAAAAGACCCCCCTCCCCTACTCTAGTGGTGGCCAACCTTTTTTATACTAAGGCACACCTTGAATGAAACCGCACACGTAATACGGTTTGTGAAAATTTCTGAATTTTTTCGCGACACATGGGTTGGCCATTACTGCCCTACTCTATTAAAACAAAAAAATTTAACATCACATTTTAAAAGCTTGACGTCATTTATCAAAGATCCCATTTTTTGATTTAATTTAATTTATTGTTGACAAGAGTTTTTTTAAACAATTTCTTAATGAATGAATAACAAGAAGTGCAATTTAATGTATCGTACTTGTGTTTTACAGCTTATAGATCGATTTAAGTTTGAATTAAATTAAAAGCTGAACAAGCTTAATTTATATTGTATTTTTAAATTAATTCCTAGAATCTCAATACAAAGTTGCATTTTCTTTTTGATAAGTTTCATTAAAAGATTGTTTCTCTTTTAAAAAAAATCTACGAACGCACATTTTGAATTCTTTCTGTTCTGACATTTTCGCGCCAAAATCATTTTCTATTCTTATCACATTCTATAAATAGTAAATTTTGACCTTGCAAACCTCAAATTTCAAAAAAAAAATAAAAAAAAGAATTTGAGGTTCTGCCGAGATTTGAACTCGGATCGCTGGATTCAAAGTCCAGAGTGCTAACCATTACACCACAAAACCAGTTATTTGTATATTGTAGTTTTGGTGATTTGATATTGATTTAAGAAGTGCTTTCTGAATCAATTTTTATAAGTTGAAGAGTTTAAAAGGAAATTGATGAATGGAACTGTAAATATTTATCTTCATCTTAATAACTTAAAAAAAGTTGAATCTGACGAGAGTTATATTGAATTGAAATGAATTGTAGGTTTGGCTTTTTTTTATTTTTTAAAAATTTTTCTTTTCTTGAACGACATCAATCCATGCTCTGATACGAACAATTAATGTTCGACAGACTTATCGAAAGTCTAGAGGAGTTATAATATGTACGTTCGAAAAGTATAAATTTGAAATAAACCGTTACAATTTTAGTGACTTTATTAGAGTTTTTGATAGTTTTAAAAAAGATTAGCTATATTATGCTTATCGTTAAATGACTTCATAATATTTTCATCTAAATTTCATACAAAACTTGTTTAATTTAAATTTCAATTATTTGTAATTTTCGAAAATTTCGAACTGCAGAGTATGAAACTTCGAATTTTGTATGGCAGACAGACAAATAAATCATTTTCAAAAGTTTTCTTGGAAATTGTAACGGTCGAAACTCTCGAATTGTTTGCAGTCCATGCTTTAATCAGAAGATGAGATTTTTGACTGTCATGACCCCTTAAGCTCTCATCTGCCAAGTTTTATCGCATAATTTTTTTTTCTGACTTAAGATGATAGTAATGGGATCGATCAGGCGTGGAAGAATATGCAAGGCGATCCCAAAGGGGGTCTAGAACTACTTTTTGCGAATGAAATCCGGGTTTTGATCAAACCTGACTCAATAAGTCATTCCATAATTTCCGTTAATTATTTGAAAGTTCCATTTAGAAATCACAAGACTAAAACATGCTAATGACCTCACAATTTAAATAAGAACGAATCGTTAGCCTTTTAAGCTGTTCTGCTTGTCAAATTAAAGCGATTCTAGGAAACAAAAATTCAATAATTGCATTTCTTTGAGATTTTTTTAATTCTTTCATTTGCAGTTCCTGCACTTGATAGAATATTCAGCGTAAAGTATCGGAAGTAATGCAGCAATGACTATTCATAAATTAAATTGCTGATTTTATTTGATTTTAACAAGCCAATCCCGAATTAAATTTGAAATAAACCAAAAAAAAAATCAAATTAATTTCTAATTATTCAATTATTTTACAAACGACGGGTTAATGAGCTGCCAAGAGGCTTCCTGCATTTTAGCAAAAATCATTTGAGGAAGCAAACTGGTTAGATTTAACAGTTTCAAGAACACGACAATTTAAGAAGATCGAAGAATATCCAATAAATTATTCTGTCAGCAAGTCCAAAAAATCATTATTGGTAATAACTCAAAACTCTACTCATCGTTTGCATTAAAAATAATTGAATGAAAGAAGAAAAAAAAATAGAAATCCACAAGTAATTACTCGCAGTTATTGCTAATCTGCTTTGTTTCAATCTTCAGTTTGGGATAGGTCATGTCCATGTATGCAAAAAGCTATATTTAAAATGAAATTAATGTTTTTTTTCGCTACTTACAGCTAATAAAGTTGTAAAATGAATTCGTCCTCAACGGTGGACATCCTGGCTGTACTTCCGCATTATTTGGATAGAAGCTGACATGACCAAGTGGAACAATTGCACCGACAAAGAAATTATCAGTTTGAATTGTGTCAACGAATTTTGCGTCATTTCTTCCAAGTGGATTCTCATAGACTGCTGGGAAGAACTTCCACTTCGCTGGGTCGAGGCCTGTGATCCTACAACATAGTCAAAAACTGTGAAGCAACTCCAAAAATCATTAAGTTGATGCTACATACCTTGCCATCTTAAATCTTCCCTTTGATGCTTCCTGCACTTCTCGGCCAATAATTCCACACGAATGAGCACCTGATAAAATTTCATTAATTCCTCCTCGACATTGACATTCAAAATATTTTCGCATAATCCAACTTACCAAAACTATGTCCAACGCAATGGAATGTCTGGTCACTCAAACCTTTATTAAATAATTTTGTCAAACTCCTTCCGAATACCCGTGACATTTTCGACATTCTGAACATCACAATTGTGTATAAATCAACATTATAGTTGCTCCAATCAAGCACTAAGAAGTTGTAATCTCCACGCTGTACATAAGCATCTATAAGCTGTCTTGTGGTATCACCTAATGGATTTTGAAGCCATCCAAAAATGTATAGGGTCGTTGGACGACTATGATCGAAATATTTGTTTGTCAGAACTTGTGTGATGTTTGATAAATGATACTGTGTGAATATTCTCGAGTCGGACCTGAAGTTTGACAAATAAATGAATTAATTTTAGTCGTGAGCTGAAGATTTATTTTCTATTTTCAAATATAATTAGAATATTGAACTTTTTGAATGAAATTTTGAATTCTTGGATGGTTGGATAGGGGTTATTCATAAATGACATCAATTGACAGTAACGAGGAAATAGGTTTTAATTGAAGAGACGGTCTGAATTTATCTGGTGTTGTCAAGTGAGGATTTATTACGTTTAAGTGATGATTAATTTAAAAGCTTTAGAACCAACAACTTAGGTATCACTAGGGACAACGTTATCCGAATCGCACAAGTCGGATAATCGATCAGAAATCTGGCACCAAGCTCGTGTGATTCTGGCATGGTGCTGGATTTAAATCGAAGACAGAACCATGCAAAAGTCATGCCAACTTGACATTAGATTTCTATTCGATCAACCGACTTGTGCCAATCGGGTAAGCCATGTCCCTAGCAAGGGGAGTAGCTGGTATTTTTTAAAAAGAAGTTTTTGACCTCCTGCATGTGTAGGAGGGTCGGTAAAATTTTGAAACTCCACAAAAGTTTCAAAATTATTAATTAAATTTCTGGCCATTTTTAAACCACTTGGCACATCCCACACTATTACACTTTGTCACACATATTCAAATCGATTTTATCTAACATTATAGTCGTCATTTATGAACTCCTCCATTCAATAATGCAATAATATTAGTTTTTTAAACAACTAATGTCATCTTGCATTCCAAAAGATCTGGTTTGTAACATTGAAAAGGTTCTTTTTATTTCACTATCATTAATTTGAAATATACACACCCATGATAAAACTTCACATTTAATCTGTCAAAATTATTAAAATTAAATACAGCTCCGGTAGCACTAAAGAACACTGTAAATAGTTTTTTATATTTTTAATTTTAAAATTTTACTTTCAATTATAATGATTTTAATTATAAAATTAAATCTAAGTTGAATTATTGATTTAAGATTTTAATTTTTTTGAATATTTTAAAAATGTTTTAATTTTATAATTTTTTTTCAGTCTTTTTTTAATTTAAACTAGTTCAAACATTCTGAAAATTTCAAATTTATTAATTTTAAAATTTGATTTTTTTTTCCTTTTAAGGATTGTTAAAATTTGGAAATTATTTAAAAAAAATTCTAATTTATAAATTTTAAAATTTGTTTTAAGGATTGTTAAAATTTGGTTCTTATTGAAACAAATTTCAAATTTATTAAATTTAAAATTTCACTTTTTTGCTTTTTAAGGAGTCTCAAAATCTCAAGTTTTCAAAATTGCTATTTTTTTAAAATTTCACTTTTTATATTTTGTTGAATTTTTAAAGCAAATTCCAAATTTTAAAATTCAATATCAAATTTTTTGAAAAAAAAAAATTAAAAACGTTTTTTAAAATTTATCATCAGCTTTTTTGTTTGATTTTAATTTTTAAAACAAACTTTAAACTTTAAAAAAATCATCATTATCAATTTTTAACTACCAGTTAAATAAATTATTCTTAAAATCATTTTCGTTTCACTATTAAATAAATTAATAAATTATTTAAGTTTTGATTCTAAGCGACTAGCACGGCTGACTGTATGTTTACAACTAAATCAAGCTTTCATCATCAACACTTGACTTCTACTCAACAAACGATTCTGTAGCACAATAATTCGCCGATATTTATATTTTTCAACAGTGGCCGATGTAAGATACTCAACATTCTCAGTAGGTAACATGATTTCCTTATGAATGAACTCTGATTTGGTATTGTGGATGTAGACTTGAGCAGATATTTGAGAGTATTTGAATGAGTTAGATGTATTTTGAGTTGAATTTCGGTCAGATTGATATTTCAACATACTTACTGAGAAGTAAGTCCTTTTTATTCGACGATGTCTATTAGGAATGCTTTTGGCGGGAAAATCCAAATTTTTCTGGGAAAAATGAAGATGAAATTCTTTAGTTTTGACGCTTCAATTGTCATCAAAAGAATTAATTTCAATGCGTAATGAAATAAAAATTATAAAACCTACAACTACTCAAATAAATGTATCAAACCATTAATTAATGTAACTTAATAAATTTATATTGCGTGCGAACTTTACAAGCTCAAATTTGCTAATTTGTAATATTACACGCATGTTTCAGATTAATCATGTCTATTTTCACTTTACATGATGAATAAAAATCAATCCGAAATTCCGCATGCAAAGAGAAATGATCCGTTATGATGTAATTGCAGTTGATCGCGACCTTGAAGAGATTTTCGGACAGCTGGTAATGAATATTACTCTCATAAAAGTTTATGGTCTTTTCGCTCACACATAACAGATGATTAGCATCTGATTTGAACTGACATTTCGAACTGACATCGCGGGATTGTTTTCGATGTTAAGGAACAGTTTGTGAGAAGACTTCTTCTCTCCAGATTCAGTTGCAAGGTAGGGAGGTGGTCTAAGGGGGTCCTGATCTCTTTTGACACTGAAATTTAAATTAAGTAAATACAAACTTCGAGATGTAACTCACTGGATCTTGTTAACAACTTTTGAACATCCAAACAACCCCAAATCAATCAATTGCACATCAAACAATCATAAAAATGCTTCCTTCTGGTTCATTTTCTATTTATTTCCTCTTTTTGTTTAAAATTATTAAATAAAATAAATTAATTTTTATTTTTGTACAGATCACTTGATGCATCAAAATGATGATGATGACCAGCAGAGATGCGTGCTCAGATTAGTCCAAACGTAAATACATTTCCTACACGATCACCGATTCGATCTAAGAGCCAATTGTAAAATTCATTTCCGTCAAAATATCTTTTTGATGTGATTTTAACATAAAATGTTCCTGTAACATTTGGATTTGAGTCAATTCCCATGTAATTGATTGGCTTCTCATCACATTTGTGGGTGTCGTAGGATTTCCAATCTGAACATTGTCTAGCTGGAAATACTTTGCAATTTTTGGGATTTAATGTTTCTGCATAGTATCGAATCGCGTGGAAGTGGCTGCACATGTCTAGAATAAAAAAAAGTAATAAAAAATGAAGGTCAGTTACGAAGCTGGATGAAAGCATGACCTAGAATTTTTTTTCTTTCCGTATAAGAGCTGTTAATAATTAACAACTATATCATTAGCTATAAATCATAACGATTATTTTAATGGTAATATGATTATGACAATGTGGTTTCTGGAAATGAAACTGGAATTCTTAAACAGTGTAATATTGAATCTGTAGCTGATTTACTATTAATTGTTGCAGACTTTCTAATACGTTAAAGAAGAAGTTCTACAAGTTTATTAAGATTAAAATGGCACATGATGATAAATTAGCTTGCATTTAATTACGTGTCTAGAAATATTAATTATTCTACTCTCTTTAGCAGAATTGATAGCAGATGAATTGAAAATTATGAGATTTGAACTGAGGTTATTACAGAAGTGAGAGATTATAAATAATGAGAATCGAACTTAGGTTATGACAAAATGAGAAATTTTTCTTAGATTATGAACACATTCGTGACAAGTCATTTTGTTTAGGGCAGCAGAACTATCAATATCAACGATTCATCTTACTCCGATATAACATCAATAAGCACCATCAGGAGTATCAAATTGTTAAGAATATTTTCAACTAAAGCAAGAGTCATAAAATTCTTTTAAGTACATATTCTAAAATCAATACCAATTATCACTCAAAATTCAGCCTTTAAGACAAAAGCTTAAGAATTAATAAAATTCAGAGATGGAAACAAGTATGTCTAGCATCTTGACGTTACAAAATAAACTTGTTGTCTTCATCGTCGGAGGTATTTTGAAGTGATTTTTATCAAATTGTAGAATTAAAGAATTAAATAATATTTAAAAAATATTACAATATCTTAGCTGACTAATAGCTTAAGTATCATAATACATTAGGTATCGTTCACTTATGACGTCCGAAAACTATGGTCATTTTTGGAAAAATGGATTTCTAGAAATTTCTATTGTTCTTTTCTGGCTGACCCCCTCAACCTTGGGACGTCATAAGTGAACAGTCCCTTAGCGGATTTTTTTTTCTTAAAATGTGTCTTCATTAAAGGTTCAATAGCTTCATGTTTTCTGAATTTCCATTGATTTGATCTTTTGACACCACTTGAAAGGGATTTTGGGGTTTTTCTAGGATTCGCTTAAAATCAATGTGATTAAGCCAGTGATGGATAACCTTTTTCGTGCCACTGCACAATTTGTTTGTAAGTTACTACATACGCTGTAGGGCCAAAGGCGTTGCCAATGGGGGTGTTCTTAGGTGCCCGGGCACCCCTCTTTGAGAATGAAATTTCATACAAATTTTTTTTTAAATTTTTTTTAAATCTTTTTTGAACTTTATGTCGTAGTTACTTAACAAAAACAAACTAATGAGTTTAAAGCAATAACTTGGCAAGAACAATTAAATTAGCTTTTAATAATCGAATAGAGAAGGATTTATTTTTTTTTTGACTTGAAAAATCTTGGCTATATCAATTGGATTTCAAAAAAATTTGTATGCCGCAGCACAAAGGTTGACCATCACTGCATTTAATAATGTTTTTTATGGAGATTCCCAAAAATTTAGCATTATTCAAGTTTTTCCATTTTAAAAATTCCAATTCTTAATCTTTTTAACCCGTTCCAATTCATAGCCACAATTTCAAAGTTGATTTCTACTAAAATCATTAAATCATCACATTAAATTAGAAGATTATTAAACTACAGGGATCCTCGGTTTTTTTTGAACAGGATTCTTCTAGTTCTATTCAAATTGAGGACCCCCTGCATTTGCAATTTTTTTTGATGACCCTGACTTGAAAAAAATCACAAAAAAAATTAATTTTAAATTAGCATTGTTAGAATGTTTTTAGAAGACTTGAAGACTTCTGATGAAACTATACAATTGATAGGATGTATAGAATAAAATATAATACTAAGCATATTGCACAACCTTTAGAATCTATTTTTAAATTCTATTTCAATTAATATTGACGTAAGGATTGATATATCAATTATTATTGTTAAAGATGAGTTTATAAAATATCTGACAGGATGATTTGAACGAGAGCTTTATGTTGAATTTATCTATGAATATTCTGAATAGATCGATTTCGCGCTAGGGAAGTGTTTAAAGGAGATCTCAAAGTCAAATTCATTTTATCGATTAGACTTCGAGCTCAAGTTTAAGTTTGAAATCTGCATGGATGGTGGACGGAGGCTATTCAGGCGTTAGATATGAGTGATTTCTATTGATCAGTGTTAAGCAACCTTCTACAAAATTAATTAATCTCATACTCACTATTACAATAGTCATAAAAAGATATCAAACTAAATCCTGGACATCCAGGCTGCACCATATTATAATTTGGAAAGAACGACACATGCCCAATCGCATTTTTCGTTCCAATAAAGAAGGTATCACTATGAATAGTATCCACATATGCTGCATCTTTTGTGTTTAACGGTTCTTCACTGATTGGCGGGAAAAAGTTTGGACCTAAGATGTGAAAAAAAATATTTTTTTAATTTTTTTTTATATTTTTAAAAGACTGAATATAAAAAGTAATATTTGCCTGCTGGATCCAGTCCTATGAAAGAGAAAGCACAGATTTAAGTTTCAGTTTCTAACTGTAATACTTTATGTCATACCTGTGATTCTAAAAGACATTAAAAAAGAATTTATTAATATTATGTTTATAAATCACAATCAAAATTAAATTATTCACCTTGCAAATTTGAATTTTTTATTTGAATATTGTTGAATCTCACGTCCCATGATACCGCAAGCATGAGCACCAAAACTATGTCCCACACAATGGAATGTCTTATCACTCAGACCTTCTCGAAATAATTTTACTAAATGCCGTCCAACAGATCGAGCAATTCTAATCATTCGATACATAACTGGCGTGTACAAACCGACTGAATATTCACTCCAGTCAAGTGCAATTAAGTTACAATTTTGGTACTTCAAATATCCATCAGTAAGTAGCAGTGTCGTCTCAGCATCCGGACTCATCATCCAACCAGTAACAATAAATGTCGTTGGCTTCTTAAAGCTAAATTTACTTTCATGTAGAAGCTGTGTGAGGTTCTGCATACTAAATTGTGTATAATTATCTGAACTTAACCTGAAATTTAAGATCTAATGACACAATTTTGATCACCATGAGATAAAGAAATTCACAACGAACCCATTGTAGAACTTTATATTGATTTTATCAAAGTTTTGTGCTGATAGGAAGCTGGTCAACTGAAGAAATGCTGAAATGATAATAATTAAATAAAAGTAAAGAGAAAAGACGCAAAAAAATTCAATATTTACCAGTTAAATAAATAAGAATTTTCGTTGACATTATTTTCACTGCTTTCTTCCTCTACTCAACGTCTATCGCTAGCGAGATGTTATTTGCAACTAAGCCGTCTTCTTTTCTTCCCATTTCGAGTCTTCTTTCTAAATATGTGTCATATCTAGTATGATTGGATATCAAATAACATCGGTAGATTGCTCAGCGTTGTGCTAAGCTCGCATCGTTCAATGATCTATAAAATGTAAGATTTTTCTTTTTCGTTAGTGCCGATTAGATTGGAAAGAAGACAATATGCTAATGATCTTCTACATTTCCGATACTTTTATAGGTCTTCTTTAATATCTGAATAGATGATCGTGTTGTAATTTTGAGGATTAGACGCTGGTTTGGTGAGAATTGGAAATGAAGTGTAAGACAAGTTATTTATAGGAAGAGACGTCCTTCTATGCGTTCTATGGACAAGGTTGGCTTAACCATCTTTTGTAAAATCGAGAGCTCGAAGTCGCTAGGGTTCGAGTTGACTCGAGTTGACAAAGCAAAGTCGACTCATTTTTTGACTCGTCTCAACTTGAGTCAACTTCGAGTCAACTCTGTAATTTTTTGTATGAAGAAGTTGAGGAGTTGACTATGAAAAAAATGAAGTCGACTTGAGTTGACTCGAAAAATTCCTCCTTTAATAAAAATTCACGCTGAACTTCCAGGATTGAACTGTCTCAGAATATTAGGTCCGAATCTCATTGAATTCTTATTGTGTTCCTTAGTCCTTGCTGCAACCCACAACTTATTCTAAAGAGTAAGGACTATTCTACACTTGCAGCACTTTGCTCCACAATTACTAAGCACGTTACACTCATATACACGTTGCTGCACAATTTTAAGGGTGCTTACCTTCTGACTAATTCATCTTTTCATACAAATTTTGTATGGATATGAAAGAAAATTCATCAAGATGAAATCGTGTCACCCCCTGGGCGATACTTTAAGGTTTTTAAAAAAAAATCAACCGACTTGAATCAAAAATGAAGGAAAAAGAGAGTTCATCAGTTTCACACTCTTGTCTTAAATGGTAATCAATACCTCAAATCAGCTATAAATAGTATCCAAACCTCGACTATTTATCGACTAGCATCGAATAAAAACAAGTTTTTTATAAAGAATTCTTTCTCTTAAGGCTGTCCATCAACTTTTTATCAAAAAGCGGGACAGATCAAATTTTCTAGAATTTTCGAAGAAAACAGATTCAAAAAGCGGGACATTAAGCGTTTTAAACGTAACTTTGTTCAAAAAAAGCATAACCGTCCAGCTCAAGCAGTTGGACAGCCTACTCTTAAGGGATACCATCTAAATATGGAACAAAAACATTTAAGAATTCTGCAACATCAAGATGATCCCGTTATAATACGTTCGATATTGTTATGATAACGACACTAGCTAATGAACTATTTATTAAATAATTTGAGAGAAAAAAAAAGTTTTAATAATTCAAACACGTATTGACTTGCCACTGAAAATTTATGCTAATTTCATTTTGTGAAGAACATGACATTCGATACTTAACAAACATTGTCGAAACAATTACTTAAAATGCACTTAAGAATGTAAATTTTGTAATTGTGCAATTTAAATTCAGTTATAATGATGTAATTACATTATATTATAAATCAATATATTAATTTTGATGTTAATGATCCTGGAATCATAAGTTTCAAAGTTTTATCGATTTTATTGCAATAAGCTGAGGGTATTAGATATTGAGTATGAGATAAAGATGATTTTCAAAATATATGGAGGGGGGGGGGGGGGGGGGCATTATTTCATAAGTGAACTGCCACTTAGAAAATGCTAGATAAAAGTGTGTGTTCTTAGTAGGCAGTGTTTATTAAATAGATTGTTAATACTACTATGGACTGCGTCACTACTGATAATAGCTGTTGTCAAAGCTGAGCTAGTGGGCAAGTCGATACATTTTCATAAAATACATAGCACCTGTATAGTAAGAACACTAGCTTCCCTAAAGGCTGAATGGCAATAAGGAACAACCAATCCATAATCAAAGGCAATTAAAGTCTGCTTTTGTCAGGTACCAAAGGATTAGCTAGAAATTTGAAGGGGGGAAGGAGGAGAGTGGGGGGGGGGGGGGGGGTTGAAGGGCAGTTTTTTTTATTTGGTAAAATAAGAGACGGGTAGCTTTTTTGGATTTTTCATTAAAAACCAAGCAAAATGATGAATACACCTTCCAGGTACTGATCAGACAGCAGCAAATGTACAGTTATGTGCAGCCATCTCATCTCAAAAGTAAAGATTAGAAACCTTTAACAATTTTACGGAAGGATCACTTTCTAATAAAATAATAAATTTTTCAAGCATCTTCAACTTCAGATTTAATTTATCAAAACAGCATTGTCACTTCCTGTCAAAAGAAGACCTTCCTGTTTAGAAATGTTAACACAGTCACATTCATTGTATCAATTTTTGCATACTTACTGGTACTTACTCAGAATTAAAGTAAATTAAAAGAGCAATTAACATTTAAGTGTCATAATCTCGGCGTAAAGCGAAATAGCTTGAAAAAAAAAATTTTATGCGCCGTCATGGCTTATAATTCTATTAATGAAAAATATAGAAGCTGTAAATTACCAAAAAAAAAATCCAGCATTAAAATCATTAAATGAATGCAAGCATTTTAAGGTAGTTTTCAAGATTTTTTCTATAGGGAAGCATTCTTGAGCTATGAAATTTGAATTTTTATACAAGCAAAATAATGATTGATTTAAGAAATAATTCGACTTGCTGCTGGTGCTGCTTAAATTAGTAGAAATCGAAATAAAATGTTGATTTCATTGACTCTGCTGAAGTTTATTTACCTTTTCTCAATTCATTCATTTCAGCTATTCGGTTGTAAACAGAGTTGTTGATTGGATACACTGTTGGACATAGGCTGTATCTTAATTAAAAGCATAGTCACGAAAGGCACATGGCATAAAAATGGCTGTCAATTGGGTATGCAGGACTGTTGAGGGATTGGGAAAGCCGAAGTATAATTCCGAAGTTAACCAAATGTCAAGTGCATACTTTCTCATGGTATCCCTTGGAACCGCTAAATGGACCGCTGTCAACCGAGCCCTGTGCCGGAATAAGTACTTTAAAGGATAGATTAAAAGCCTATCCAAACAACCTCGCATGTAGGGTGGCAGCCCCACATCCAGGCTAGGGATGGTGAGGTTTACAACCAACCATTCCCGAAATCAACATGTATAAAGAGATCAACATGAGGATCCAGGGCTGTATGAACGTGGTACCATGCCAGATTTCATCAAAATTGGGTGAGATTGAGGATCTGATTGAACTTTTGATTTCGCACTTTTTGATAGGGTCTAGTATAGAAACCATGGGCGTAGGTCTTTAAACCATACAAAGGGAGAGGTCAACTGTTATAAATTGGCGCCAATCTCTTGTAAGCAATAAGCAAGACAGTGCAAATGCCAAAAACCCTGACAACAACTACTGCTGGAACTGTCTAAATATTTATGAGTTCAACAGTTCTCTTTAAAATGAATGAAACATCATTATCTGTTAGGAATCGAACCAATTTCATAAACATTTATTAATAAATTGTCAATCACTTAGCAAAAGCTTTGTTTTATCGCTTTAGCAGATCCATTTACAAGTTAATCAACTGACTTGAGCTAAACATTATCTTAAAATAAAAACAAAATAGTTTTCCTAGATTTTGTATCCAGTTTTGACTTCTCGGACATAAAACATTAAATTCTCCAACTCATTAAGTCATTCTTGAATAGGAACAATTTATACTTAAGGTCATGTAATGTTTGGTTTCGTGCCTACAATCAGAATATACGAATTCTTGACAAAACATGCGGCAGTGTATTGACATTTTAATAATGAAATGTGATAGAAATACTAATTTCAATTCAACTTTGAACTAGCACGTAATTTATTCATAATAAATTTCTGATTTAATTATTTTGGTTAATGTAAGTTCTATTTTTAGATTAATATCTATTTTTATTAAACACACATTAACGGTATTAATTACATTTTATTATGTATATCTATACATGCATCACATTAATATACGTATCGAACAATTAGGTAATAAAACTTTGTTTGATAAATTGCGGAATGCCAGCATATAAGAAATGCCCGTAGGTTAAAGCACTTGTTCACAATTCAGTAAATTAATTCGATTATTTTGGTCCGTACCTAAGATCTCATTAAGTATTAATATAAGTTTGAATAAGTATCAATCATCCATCATGTGTAGGTACTTAAACTTCTTACATTATGCGCTATAGTAGTGGAATTGGATTTATGATAAATACAGCATAATTACAGTTAAGTCTTATTTTTGCGTTTTGGATATTCTGAAGATTTTTAAATGATTTTTTGAGTTCTTTTGTGAATATTGAAAGATTTTTAAGCTTCCTAATTTAGTTCTGTAATTAAATAAGAATTTTTATGATGAGTCTAAAGGGGTTGTTCGTAAGTAATGTGCATGATAAAAAGAAATTTGATTTTATTTTATGTCTCGGATTCAGGATCGCAGCCAGTTGTAGTTGATAGAAACATTTAGGAGGGGGCAGGGGTTGATTGGGAAATTTTTTCTCTTTTGGCAAATTGAAGAAATGGGGAGCGGAGGTATTGATCCAAAAATAAACCCTAGCGATGCTCCAGATCAGATACATTACTAAAGTATGACTTTTCTTACTTTAATTCAACTGCAAACCCAAAGACAACGCAACTCTCTCCAGAATATTCTACATCACCATGAAACATCATTTATGAATAATCCCTTCAGATTCTTAAATAAAACTATAGGACATCATTAGTTTGAGTAGCAACTAGAAGCTTTATGAAAAATTATATGTTCTTGTCGTATACTCTTTAATTTTCAGATAATCCATTGTGCTTCTGCTTTTAAATAAATTTTCGGTAAATCATTAATGTCGGTTCGTTGCTTTTCTGACAGTAGTTATTAAATGTAATCGATCTCGCGTCAAAATAGCAATGATTTTGAAAATTACTATCAACTTGTACATCTTTGATAACCTGTGAAGATTCACCTTTGGACTTCTGTTTATTGCTGTCATTAACAAAATAAATTATTTGCAAAGTCATTTGCAAAACCATCTTAAGCTGCATATTGTGTAAAATAAGTGGCACCAAGCTGACTTGATGCTATATCAGTGGTTCTCAAACTGTGTGCCACGAAAAAAATTAAAGCTAATATATTTTCATGTTTTATGACTTAAATAGGTCATGAAAATCATTTACTGTGTCACGTGACTATTCAGATGTGCCGCCAGAAATTTTAAGAAGAAAAATGTACCGTGGACCAAAAAAGTTTGAGAATCTCTGTGCTAGATTATCCGCATATCCTGGTACCTCGTTGATTTGATGGTACTACTGATGAGAAACTTTTTGATTGCGTTTACCTCATTTGGGGTTGTTTGCAAATTACGTCACGACTTAAGGGAGTAAGAATTAGAAGATTTTGTAACAGTTCAATCAAAAAATATTTTTACTATGCAAAATTTTTGACAAGAAGTTAATCAAGTCATTTTTTTGGGTGACGTAATTTCCGAACTGTCCCTCCTTGCTAAAAAGAAAACACCATTCAATCCCAAAACACTTTAAAACAGCCCATAAAAACAAATTGAATTTCATCCACGATCTCTCACTTAACACTCGGAAGTAGAAAATATCAAGGACTGAAAAAATTGAACGGTTTAATTTCTCACTTATTCTATCAAAATGTTAAAAATTCACTTAACAATAGCCGCATAACAATAATATCATTTTGGTAGCTATAATAAGACATTTGGAACTCTAAATAAGATTGAAGATACTTCCTCGAGTACACATTCGCACGCTTCAAATAATACAGATTGATTTGTCCGTAAATCATGCACTCATTTCTAGTTGGATAGACATGTGATTAATGTTACATATACGCGATGTCTTCCTCACGCATGCCACTGTCATTTTAAAGTAATCGATTAAGAACAAAATTGTATTATTGTTTGCAAAGAATATTGATGGATATCGTAAATTTTGGGGTTTATTTAGAAGTTAGGTAACGCTAGTATTTGCTTTCTTTGCTATTCTACTTCTATATAGAAAGACACGCGACGTTAAAATTTCTGTCAATGCATGAACACGGGACGACTTCAAATTTAGTGAGATCCAACCAGGTGAACAGCCATTTTTACACCGTGTACCTTTCGGGATATGCAATTTCGACTTTATTTAGACCTTATTCAACCTGATTCAAACTGATTGCATTCGATTAGACTCGATTTGATCAACTTTTAAAAGTTGCTACCCGACACGACCCTATTAAACCTGATTGGATGGGATTGAACCCTGTGAACCCTCTTTAGCTCCTTGACTGTCTTTATTTCAAAATCTATATGAGGTCATTCTCTTATGAAGTCCAATTAATGGTCATTTTTCAAAAATAAAAATTGGATTTTCTGGAATTTCTATTGTTCTTTTCTTGTTGACCCCCCCCCCCCCCCCCCCCCTCGGACGTCATAAGTGAACGGCACCTAAGAAAATATCGATATATTTTATTTTTATAGAGACACCACAACCTCCTTGTAACATCACATAGCATCCATACTCACCCCATATTGCTAAAAATTGATAAATTATATTTGCGAATGATTTGGACGCAAGACTCGATGACGATTGTTTGAGAATTATGACAACTACAACCATAATCATCATTTGACAAGCTGAAAACATTTATCTATATAAAATTTATGATTATTGCGATTGATAGCTATAAATTTATGATATTTTTTTTTTCCAGCATCTAGGAAGGGTTGAGCATAACTGATTAAAGACTTTAATGCGTGAAATGAGGATTGATAAATTCAGAGAAAAAAAAATAAAACTGCATAAATATTTTCGCAATGATGAAAATTTATTGCAATAAATTGAATGTGATTTGATGTGATGTTGATGTGGAAGCATTTCGACACAGCAAATAATATTGAGAAATTTATGAACATCAACTGCCGAAAAATATTTTTTTGCATAAACATGACTGTGACATGTGTGCATCTCATTTTCATAATAAAAAACAATAATAGTCTCTTATTTATGACAACAATCATGGTGGTTGGGCTCTATTGTCAGAACCAGATAATTGTGTTAATTTAAATTCTTCTGTATGATGAAATTGTGAATGTACGTGCAGAAGGGACCGCTTTATTGCGAAAAATTATTTTATTACTGCCGAGTCAAAATGAGCGAAATGTGTTAATAATATTTTCCGTTCCTTCTTTTAAAAGACAGTACGCAACCACCTTTTGGGTTTTCGTCTTTTGTCATTTCCATTTCATTTCATTTCATTCATTCATTCGTCCCCTTATCATAAGAAAATGTCATAATAGAAATAATAAGAGTCACCCTAAAAAATTATTTGAGAGAAATTAAAAGTTTTGAAAAAAATTATATTTATTGGCAACAATGTCTATATGACTAGGGTGAAGGTATATTCTACAATCTTAATAGTCATCTTTGTCACTTTACATTTCTGCTTTGTATATTGAGAATGTAAGAAGAAATATATAAAAATTTGATATGGACATAAAAAGTAAACTAATTTGGGCGTCCTACTGCGTGTTCTCTTGCTTGGCGTCTCTTTATGTGTACTTTTTTGAGTTGATAGGAGTTGTTTGTTGCTTGTTTATCTCTGTGTCTGTCTGGTTGTTTGTCTGTCTGGCTGTTTGGTAAGAAAAGCTCAATGAGTTGACAGGTAAACACTAGGGTAATTGTAGGTGCAGGTTGGTGCAGGTTGTTGCAGGTTGGTGCAGTTGTCTACCAAGAATCGATTGCCAACTTAGAAGCTATGGGAAGCTGTGAAATTATGGCACGTAAAATGTCAAACAGACTTGATGATATCATGATGGAACTGGGAATGTTGTCTAATCAATGTCTGGTTGAGTAAGACCAGTGTTGTCCAAACTTTTTGAGCCACAGCACACCTTAGGTCACCATGACCGAAGTTGCACACAACGTGTGGCTTGTGTCATTTCCAAAAAACTTCTACGGCACACAGATTGGACAACACTGAGTTAAAGCAACAACAGTTGGTTTTGAATACCACAAATGTGAACCATGATCGCATAGCTTTGAAAAAGAGGTCCGTGAATTGATCTTACTTACTTATTTACTTACTTTGCTGGCCGTACATATCAATTGTGATCCATGACCTCCCTTAGTTGACGCCTAAAATGTGACCTCTTGCCATCTACGAAGTCAGATTTAAAGACCTTATTTAATAAAGCTTCCACAGGTCTCCTTATAACGTATACAGCCTATCGGAGCCTGTTCACTTTAATCCTTTTCAGTATATCAGCGTCCTTAAACAGCTGATAAACTTCTGCGTTGCTCCTACATTTGAAAAGGTCTCCTTCTTTCTTTGGTCCAAAAATGACTCTTAGAATCTTTCTCTCGAAAACACAAATTGCGTGCTCGTCTGCTGCTGACATATTCCATAACTCTGACCGAGGATTGATCAAATTGATAAAATGCGCTTCCACATCCCACCCCTCCTTAGTCGTCATTCAACTAATTTTATTCGATTCATTCTTCTTGATTTTTATTATCATGGGATGAATGAAAATGGCATTGAGATATAAAAATGACGATGACGATAATCAAACGACTTTGAATTTCATTAATTGAAATCAAATGAAAATGAGACTTCTTTTTTTCCGCAACTTTTATTCATTTCACAAAATTTTTATGACGTCTCAATGTTCTAATTAGACGATGAACATTGATGGAAATAAATTTTGATTTTTATGCTTCTTCTCATTATTCTGAATTGAGGATATAAGGGATGGAATAATCATAGTCATATCAATAAATTCTTGTTAAGAGACTTTATGAGCTCAGCCCATCAAATTGGATTGCATCACACACAAAAAGACAGGACATTTACCTTACTGACAAATTGAATTTTCTTGAATCATTAAAATCTCTCTCCTGTTTTTAGCATAAAATTGAATTAAATTGTATTTATACATTAGATTGCATTGACACCCATGGCAACTAATAATAGAATTCGGAACTCCATTCAATCGATAAAGACTCAAATTTGACAAGAAAACAATTTCTTTATAGATATAGACTCAAAATTGCATTTAATTATTTTGCATGTTAATAGCATTTCAATGCAATATGGAAATTTTGCATCCCTATACAACAATGCCATGGCATTATAATGGAAATAACATAACATAAACATCAATGCATCACTACAATAGTTTTTGAGAAGATTGTAAAGTGCTCTTCAAGGTGTTTAATTACATCTGACATTATAATATTATGTGCATGGATATATAAATTGAGTAGGGAATTCAATCTCTCGTGATATGGATTGTTGTGATACTGTAACTCGATATTAGGAATCAATCATTTATTGAACAATAATTGGGAAGCTTCTGCATATTCATAATCCTTATTATTGACAGAACATCCAATTTATTATAGAATTTGCATACACGATTAGGACAGTTTGAAATTTGAGAGCATTTACAGCATCTAAGGTCTCCCACATGGATTATCTCAAGTTACTTATCTTAATATCTGGTAAATATAAGTGAAGTCATTATCATAACTCATGAAAGTATGCTTGAGTGTGTCATTTAGTCATGTTAAGGACCATAAAAATTTGTTTACGATATGAGAGATGCCACAAGTCCAATGAAATTTGACACTGTGATGTCATTTTTTAACGTTTTTCTTTTGTAGGCGTTTGCTTGGTGATAACGGGGGAAAGAAAAAAGTTTTCGATACTTTTGTGCAACTTAGTCAAGGAATATAGTTCAGCTAATTCAGCACTATTCAGCTAGCACAGCTCTATTCAGTGTGAGCAGATTATTTACAATAATACCAGCGATAGTAAGTTCATTCAGCAAGATTCAGCCTATTCAGTAAAGATTCAGCATATTCAGCAAAGATTCAGCCTATTCAGAAAAGATTCAGCCTATTCAGCAAAGATTTAGCCTATTCAGTCAACTCAGCTCAATTAAGCACTATTCAATTAGCTCAGCATACTTCTCCTAAATTAACGCTTCCCATTTAATTGATAGTATTTAATCCTTTTCAGTACAATTCAGTGCATGTAAAGAATACAGCAAACTTAGCATCTAAACCCTAATAAAGCTAGTTCAGCTAGAACTAATACAATTCAGCGTGTTCAGCTAGTTCAGTTAAATTCAATTCTATTCAGCAGGTTATAGTGATACAAATGAATTCAGCTAATTTATAAAGTTCAACACTATTCAGCTAATTCAGCATAATTCAGCTTACTTTTCTAATTCAATAAAACTTAACAATGCTAGCCAATTCAAGTAATTAAATGCAATTAGTTAAGATCATCGCTATTCAGTAAATTCAGCAATTATTCCCCAAAATCCATAAAATAATAAAAGAATCCCTAAAAATTCAGCATGCAAGGAATAAAATGAAATTGCAGAAAATTATCGTTACTTTCAATTACATCCACATCTACTCCGTATGAGAAAATGCATTCTGAAATGGCTTCAAGCTGTTTCCGCATTTATTGTATTAAACATTTTCTCATATTTACCTAAGCAAATGACTTGAATGTCTTGACTATTTAATTTTGATAATAGAGTTTAATCATTTTTTACGATCAACATCGGCATTTACGTCTTTTTCATTCTCACGGCTATGTATGACTGGTATATCGAGTATGTTGCATTTTATTTCATCCTTTTTTATTGAGCGCGCATTGAAAAAAAATCCTTTTCATAAAACCTTATTTTTTTTGATTTATGATCATTTCTTGTCAAATTCAGTCATGTGAAATTCTCGAATTACTTTTCTTATTAAACGAGCTGTCAAATTTTACGCAGAGACTCCTTTCGTCATTCAACGATTGTCGTGATCATAAATCTTGTTTCTAGATTTTTTTATTTTTTTTTTGCACATTAAGAAAAGACGAAGGAAAGACATTGATGAAGCTAAACATTTTATGGTGTTGCTTAGTTGTAAATATTTAATGAGATTTTCATTCAAGGGTTGATTTGCGTTGAATTTTGAAATTTTTAATTCTTATTCTTCTTGATTTCATGGGAGTGATTGAAAGGCTTATAAATGATTTTATGCTTGAGTTCTTGACATTTTTGTTGCAAAAATACAAGGTTCATTAAGATATTTTTAAAGAAACTAAAAGAACTGGTTGTAGTCTGTAGTCTATAAAAACCACCTCCCCTAATGTGTACGCCTCTACTTAATTCAGCAAGGTTAATTCTTCTTTGAAAATTCAGAAAAATTCATTCAATCTCTGAGCCACAATCAAAGCTCTAGACTCCACAATCTTTTACGTCAGACGTTAGATTCTTTGACCTTCTGTTTGAGTCCTTGAATCTTTTTTCTGTGATTGTTCATTCCTCTGGCGAACCCTTCTTACTCAAAAAAAAAAATTAAAATAATTCCTATCGAAATATGTTTAGTGTTGAACATCATAGCTCTGTTGTTACTTGAATTTCGCCCTAATTGCTGCCTTTTAAAGCAAATCCTCATTTTATTTAATAACACAAAGGTTAACAATTAATTATTAAAGTTGCAATTAAATTATCAAACAGACCCTTTCTAGCACCACTTATCAACATCTATTAAAAACATCAATCTTGTTATCAAAATAAATTGATTGTGAATCTTTAAGAAATAAAGTTCTAAGCAAAATTATTCGTTTACTAAATCGGCTGTGTATGACGACAATTATTAAAGGCAAAAAAATTGCTTCCGTAGATAAGAATTTATCCGGAACTTTAGAGGCTGTGCACAAATGATGTCAATATAATTTGTAATTTTAAGGCAATTGATAATCAGAAAGAATGTTCAGAACAGCAGCAGGGACCAGTTTTTATGGGTATTATATATACTCAGCCCTATTCAATGGTAAATTTAATTCATGCTCTATGGTTTACAGCATAGCTTTTTGGTTTTGTTGTATTGTATCAAGATAGCACTAAAAACTTGTCAAAGACTTTACAAGTTGAAGGAAGGGTCATAGCCAGAAAGGTCTATAGGCGTCACAAACAACCTCCTAAGGCAGAAATTATTTTCAATGTAGTGCAATATAGGATATAAATAAAATTAATTTAAGACTCAGTAGGGCAGCGTTAGAAACTGGACCTAGGATTTCAAAAAATACTACATTTTCTGATTCGAAAGATTTAATTTCCATCATAAGGGATGCGATGGAGGTGTCTGGAACAAGTACGTTAAAGGACATATCAAAAACCTATTCAAACAACCTCGCCTGTAAGGCCCCACATTCATGATAACCAATCGTTCCCGAAATCAACTTGTACATTATTTTATGAATTTTTTTAAGGTTGCAAAGTTTTTTTTTAAAAAATACTATCAACAAAAAAAATTATTCTAAAAACTTATCCAAAATACCCACACTTGACGTCATCCATAAACAAACCCCCGTTAATAAATTCACTACATCCGAAAATATTTAATTCAGCAACATAAAAATAAGTTTTATTGTGCAAAAAATTACTAGTTCTAAAAAATTTGTAGCTTGTAATTAACTTCAATGAGACACTGAGAGCAATTGTTGACGAGACACACAATTCTTGACATATTGTAAAAACAACAAACAACATTTTGCTGATAAGAAAAAAAATAAGAGAATAAAAAAATATTTTTAAAAATAAATTGTGCATCTCAAATAATAAATCTCACAATAGAGTAAGGCAGTGAATTGTTTTCAAGCTGTTTTTTTTTGAGATTTTTTTTAGAATATTTCAAGTTTAAGTTATAATTATGAAGATCATCTTAAGCATACTAGTGACCTCAATACTGCTCATTAGCTTCAGTGATTCTCGACATTTTCCAAAGAGAAAAAGTGTTTACATTTGCCACAGAAACTTATCAATCGGTGCAAAAGTTCATGTTTTTCTTATGAAACTGATGGGCAAACATGATGTGCTGGGAAGTGATCATAAAGATGGATGTCAACTTGTGCATGTTACTGACGCGAGTAGTGAGGAATCTGACAGTGATGAGATATCTGTTGCACCGAAGAACTTAGTAGTGAATCGTCAAAATGAACCAAAGTGGTTGATTGATAATGACAGTCGATCAGGTTGAAAATTAAGATTTTAGTTAAATATATATAGGAAGCATGTATACTGAAAAATTGTAAATAAAACAAAAAAAATTAATAATTTACAAAAAAAATTAATAAAAGTAAAATTCAGCAAAAAAGATGTGCACATTCGAGTTTTATGGCTTGCCCGGGTTGACTAGATGCCGTTCGAACTGAGACATTACTCAAAGTCATTTGTTCCATGAGCTCTATATTGGGCTCTTATAAATTTTTACTCGATTGTCGTACTATTTTGCTGTCATCGGTAGTTTTTAATTGGATATTGAGACATTATTTTGAGATGTTGTACAATCTCAGCCTCACGACAGTAGTCACAAGCCAACACCAACTCTTTGGTTTCGGCTGGCTAAAATGGGTATTTAAATCAAGGTTTTAAGGATTGGTTCTTGTGAAGTATATGGAATTTAGAGCAAAATGATGAGAAAATTGGAATTTTTGTCCTTTTTTACTAGGAAGTCGTTCACTTATGACTACGAGATTTAGAGGGGGGGGGGGTCTAGGATTTTGTTACACATTACGACACAAAGGGGGGGGGGGGGGTGGTCAGGAAATTTGTGAAATCAAAATCAAAGGAAATGAGGATATCAATTTTTTTATATCACAAAAACTTTGATTGGACGTCACAAGCCGAGGGGGGGGGGGGGGTTACTGGCTTCTGTGACAGGGAGGGGTCCAAAAATCTTGCTTTTTATGGACGACATAAGTGAATGACTTCTAGGTGAAAATTTGATTTTTTTTAAATGTAAAATGTCATATTTTTATCAGAGTATCTCCTATGAATAAACCCCTGGGGGCTATTAACATGTTACGTTTTGAAAAAATTGAAAGCATATTTTTCCTTCTTTATTAAAGATATTTTTTTCAAATAAAATTAATTTTTTAAAAATTCAGCCTAAAATATTATCATTCAAACATATAACAATATTTATCAACACAATTCCATATCCACAAAGCACGTGGTCGCTAATCAATTTATTTATTTTTTTCTTATCTAAATCTGCCTAGTTTCAATTCTCTTTTACAAAACTGTCGTGTTTACATAAACAACTCACACTGCGTATTAAACGATTTTTTTAACAAGAGAAATTTCTTTGATTTTCGCTCTCGTTTTTCGCTCGCCGCTCTCGCTTGTGCTATTTTTTCTTCTCATCGTTCAGTTTCGCATTAAGAAAGATAATGCTCTGCAGTCGAGACTTTTTTCATCAAATATTCACCTTCGATAGCTCAGTTGGTAGAGCGGTGGACTGTAGCGGTTAAGATTTACTTTAGCTTTACGGCTTGAGTGTCTAACAGATATCCATAGGTCACTGGTTCAAATCCGGTTCGAAGGATTTTTTTGCTTCGACTTTTTTTATTCTTTTTTGTCAATTTTCCCTGTTCTCATAATTTTCAAGTTCACATGCTATTCAAAAAATGATAAAGTAGACTATTTTGAGGGTTGATTGCTACAGCTTGTTAATGGCCATCAGCAGCACGTTTTTTATGGTGTCGAGTAGATTTTTATATAGAAATTTAATCTCAATTGTGTTAATCATAAGATTGATTGAATGTCATTTAACTTTTTGGGAATTTTTTTGAGTTCAAAAAAGGGACAATTTTGTATCGAGACGATTAATTAATAAAATAATTGTTACATCAAAATAGCTACAAATTGAGTTTCATGTTTCAAATTCCAACTTTTTTTTTATTATTGCAAAACTTTCTCATGTTCATTTTTATTATTGCCATGCTGCTTATGCTTGCTCTCCATAGAGAAAATAAAAATTTAAAGTGAAATGTCAAGAAAAACTTTTCTGATTCCGAAAAAGTTCAGTGAACCAAAAAAAAAAGAGTTTTTTTTTTCATTTTCTCATGCAATTTTACAGTAAAACAAAAGGGTTGAAGTGGGATTTTATGGAGTGGAGTTCTTCAGGTTGCATGCACTCGAGATGAAATATAAAAAAAAATGGAGCGAGTTAAATTTGTGTCATTGTGCCGAAATTCTTCATGCCTTCATGCTGTAAATGGTGCGGAATTTTTTAAATATTTTTTTCTCATCTTTTTGGTGCCTCAAAATTACAATTAATTTCCATTCTCAAGTACGGCACACGCTCGTCAAATGACACTTCATTTTTCATATTAATTGTATCCAAAAATATTTACTTGTGCATCCTTATTCAGCATGAGATGCGTTTTGACATTTTAACAAATTGCATTTACATTTAGGGGTTGATTAGAAGTGATGTACTGCAATTGAATAGTGCTTCAGTGAGGAATGATTACCTTTTTGGATCAAAATTGGAATTTGAGACACTTTAATAAAGTTTTTGGAGCCAAGACCGCAATTTTTAACCTGGAACTGGTCGCTGATGGGTTTTGTCATAAATTGGAGTCCATTAAGATCCATAATTTGAGTTGAACAGCCTTAGTCATCCTCTTTTGTTTTGTATTTAGGTTTAGTAAAAGAATGTCAAGCTGCACTAGAGACTCCAGTAAATTTTTGTCCAAATTGATAAAAATCTGATTGTTCTGGATTGTCTGAACCTCTCTATTGGTCGCTATAGCCCTAAAGTTGACTCTAGTCATACTAGCGACAACAGTCATTAGATGATGTCAAAAACGAAGTCCATGATAGGTTTTAGGAGCCATTGTTGACATCCTGAATCTCCATACTAATATCTACGACCCCAATTGTCATCATCCACAAACAATCCCTTATTAAAAATGTTATGCAACATTAACATGATTTACAAAAAAAAATTACATTTTATGTTCATAAAAAATACATCGAATTGGTCAGTTTTTTATTCCCATTTGCAGCTTGCCAATCCTCTTGACAAACAAATAATCATCAACAAAAGAAGGACATAAAAATTTATGTGACTGTAAGTTCATCAATATCAAATCATATTGAGAACTAATACAAATTATTTAAGTGGAAAAATGAATGCAGACTCATAATGGATTAGTTGAATAGGAACACAAACGATAACAATAAATTTGCGTAAATTTTTTTATGAATTTAGGTTAAATAGTTGACAGAAAAAATGGGATGCGTAAATATTTGATGAGCTAGGGACGTATTTTGACCATCAAAAATCAAAATAGACTAGCTTTGTCTCTTTCGTGTCACATCTGAATGATTTTTATGACTTTTTGCATTCACATGTGATGGAAGGAAGGGGGAATTGAGTTTTTGAGTCACACAAATATGCTACTTCCAATTTATGACCTACAAAAATCAACTTAGTTCGTGAAAGAACACGGAAACTGTCCAAATATGACAAAGACAATTGAATTTTTGGCAGTGGTAAAGGCAAGGGATATGAAATTTATGATGTAATCAAATCGAAGCGTGTGTCAATCTCATTTTGATGCTCCTCATCATCATTGCTGTGCTACTCATCATCATAATATTCTCACAACTTCCTGAATGCACTTTTTACACTGCTGATGCTGATGCTGCTCGCATGTCACACACTATAAATTTTTATGAGCACATTTCGATAATTTTTAAATGCAGATTTTCAAATGTCTTTTTATGGTTTTTGAGCTACTCACGCGCGCTTATTGTTTGATTATATTTATTTACTGATTTCCATATTGTTCTCTAACCCAAAATATTATCATTTTTGTTTATTTAGAAATTGCAACAGGATGTGTGTGTGTTGAGGAACAAGGAATTCATATTCCTATGCATAAATGTATGAAAATAATTTTTTACAATTTCCGAAAGTTATTTCCATAAATTATGTTTAATGTGAAAAATTGCTTATGCACGATGTGAAGTGTTCGGTGGTTCTTATGGCAATTTTCTAGTGAGTTATTGATATTATTTCAATTCACAGCAATTGAGGTATTCAAATAAAGGGTGATAATGGCAATGTATGAGAAATTAAATTAAGGAAGGTTTTGTTTCACTTCCTTTAGGGGCTGTTCACTTATTACGTAACGCGAAAAAATGACTTTTTAGACCCCCCCCCCCCCCCCTCGTAACAAAATTTGTATGAAAAAAAAATTTCCTTGTTTGAACCGTAACAAAATCTTAGACCCCCCTCTCCCCCTAAAAGCGTTACGTAATAAGTGAATGGCCCCTTATGAGATTTTTTATTTTTTGATAATTTTCTAGGATGTTGTTTATGGATTTGAAGCAGTTATGTTGGAATTTAGAACGTCATAGAATTATGGCTTAGGCTAGTGAGGGACATTTCTTGCTTAAAATATGAAGCTGGAATTAAATCTGAGCTCATTTATCAATGAAAGGGTTTGGGTGATGAAAATTAAAGACTCGAACCTGATCAGATCAAACTTCTCTTCCAGTCATCATCTAAGCACGGGTGAAGTGCATCTGGCAGACTCGAGAATTCTGCAGAATTCTGGAACACAGTTGTGCAGAATAATTCTGCAGAACTCCCAGAATTATGGAGGATTATTTATCAGAATTCTGGAGAATTTTTTTACTATCATTGTTTAGGTTTTTGTTTCCAGTTTTTATTCTTGTATTATTTTATTTATATTTTAAATGTTAACATCCAGAGTGAAAAATTTGATTTTTATAAAACTGTAAACTCAACTGTAAGTACTGCTCAGCAGCTAAGCTATAAACACCATCTGTAAATTACAGCTTTAATATGATTTTTACGTAACGAAGTACATAAGTTCATCTGTTGTCTACAGTTGTAGCTAAATAGCTAATGCTAAATAGTATAGGGTGTTTTTGACAATTTATATAAAAACTATTACAGAATTCTCCAGAATTCTGTTAAAAAATTCTGTTTTCTGAAATTATGTTGCGAATGTGTCGCGTGACATTTTTCAAAAAATTCTCCAGAATTCTGATAAATAATTCTCCAGAATTCTAGAGAATTCTGCAGAATTATTCTGCACAACTGTGTTCCAGAATTCTGCAGAATTCTCGAGTCTGCCAGATGCTCCGGAATCTCTAAACACCATTTCGATCGATTTAATTAATTTTCCAGCTTCGCGGTTCATTAAACTCATGTTTACAAAATTTGAAAGAAAATATTTCATTCCTTTGGGCCATTAAAATTTCACTTATTATGTTTACAAAAAAATCGAAAAACAATAAAAAATCATCACATGTTAGTTTAGCCACACATCACAAATCTTACATCCATAAAAAAAGTACAATGCATTGTTTTGATAGGAAAAAAAATCTAAACATAAAAGGTGGAACTGACTTCTTTTTAGACATTTTCATCTCCATTAGAATGTGTTTTTCATTGCAAACAAGCTGATGCTAATTATAGATAACCACTGTTAATGTTTATAATTTTCCTCTGCAGGAGAGCAAATGGAAAAAATTGTTTGTACTCGAAATATTAAATAAAAAGCGAAGGCAAAAGTCACGAAGAAAGTAAACAAAAATTAATTTTCAATTTATTGGATTTATTATTTACATTCTAATCCAGTATGGCTTGATATGTAATTGGGAATATGAATATGTCATGTGGTTGGTGGGAAGGGGTGTATTTAGATGAAGG